GAGCAACAGCCAGGTCATTTTTGATTGCACAGAGAATAAAAATGGTAACTTGCAATCGCAATAGGAATTTTAATGCATAAAAAAGGGTGATGAATAAAGCTGAGGCCTGAGATTAACAGAGTAATTGGCGATGGATCAAGTGGTTTCTCCCGCCATATAGTTAGCTTCCAAATAATGCAAGGTCACAGTTGTTCGTACCCGAAAAAGTACTCAAATACACCCGATCTCCAACTAAGAAACATCGCCCAGATAGCGTTCACTCAGATAACCCCAAAACAGCCTTCCAAGTACTTGATTGGGTACGACCAACCCGTACTTTGCGTTACTTGAAAACAGGCTATATGCGGCGGGAGAAAGCCGAGCGAAGCAAACACATGGTTAACCTCAAATTGACCTTCTATTCTTCAGACCCTAGATTTGCACACCATTTCTTTTCGTGTGTTAAACTTTCCCTTCTTCTTTCCTAATTTGCGTTTTTTAAGATGCCATTCTTATTGATTATCCCGTGCAGCGAACGATGATGTTGTGACAATTTATTGATTTTCTTATGTACAAATTCAAACTATAGTGGAGTCTCGGGTGACGAGAAACAGTCCCACCTACAAGCGTTTCTTTCTGTATAAATTCACACTATTGTGTGTTTGTGTTCGTTATCTATGCTATTCAGAGATGGTTTGCATTCGAGTAGCCGTCACGAAATTTTTTGCTTCCAACAAAGTCTGCTGTTTGTAACTGTTTTAACTTTACACCGGGAAGAAAAGGCTTCAAATAGCCCAAATACACCAAAATAAAAATTTGATGCACATAGTCCCTGCATAGTGGGTGGACACAGGTCTTCAGTGAGAACGGGAAATCCGTTGAATATCATAGGGAAAATACCTCAAGAACACACTGAAACACTATCCACTAGCTCGCCCTGTCTACCTCTTTATAAATAATACCTGCTGTCGCCTAATGTTAATCTATCGAAATTAAGCCAGTATCATCAGGGCTCATGTTAGTGCCTGTGTAGACAGCCGTCTTGTTTGGAGAGGCGGTCCAAACTTGCTGACAGAAATGAAGTCTAAAAATAGACGGGAAGAGCCTACCTGTACGACTAATGGTTCTGCGGAGGCCGCGACGGGGCCGATATGGGCGTTGTTCACATCGGCCAGACGCCAAAACAGAACCTGTAATAAAGTGGAGGGAAGGAATGAAAAGAGAGTAAGGGTGAGCAGGGTGTGAGATAGGGATAGACCGGGAGGTTGGGGTGCATTTTATGACTGGGAGTTAGAACATCTGC